AAAAAGATTTTTCTGGAATACATATTTGCATTAAAATAGTCCCAAGAAATGTCATAAGTGACAAAAATCTGCACTACTTGTACTAGTTTTCCAAATGGAGGTATTTCTACTTACTATACTTCTAAGTAATTCTACAAGGGAAAAACTGCAGGATCAACCCTCCTCCAAACACACATTTGAACACAGCTACAAATAAAGTTTCTCTTTCTCCATCCCCTCCCCCACCCCCAATTCCTACAGCTGCCTCTGACTCTGCCTCCTTTATTTATCACAGAAATGTAAGGTATAGTATGAAAAGGCCAAATATCAGCATGTGGACTTTTGAGCAAACAAAAATACAATGTTTAATTTGTCTAAAACATGCTCCCCTCCTAGGCTTGGCTTGCGGCTTACAATTCCACCAGCCGAGAGTTACTCCCATGGCAAGCATGACTTCCAATCTACTTGGAGAGTTGTCCAAATTCTGATAAATCTGCAACTATTGCAACAGCTTAAAACAATAGTCTGCCTTGATTAACTCATCTCTTGGGACTAAAAATCTGTAAACCAACTAAAAGTAGCTTGTAGCTCTCAAATGTTGGTTTGCCTCCATCCATTTGAAGAAGCAAACCGTTCCCGAAATGTTCAATGTGAGAACAACATACCAAAAATATATAATCTGCATTTAGAACGACAAATTTGGGGAGACCATTTTAGCCATAATCTAAACTAGTAAATTTCTAGATTCCATGGATGTATGACTGGCAGGCAGAGCAGTGAAAAGATTTAATACCAGCATCAGATGTGTGGCACAGAGTTTCTACTGGTATGCAAAAAACAAAGGGAAAAAATCCTGTTGATTTAGGTTTCCTGAATATAATGTATGTCTCAGGAATGTATTTAACAGACACAGAACAAAATCTGAATATACATACAGTATATGGTCAAAGCCTATAAGACACGGGTGTCAAACTCATTGTATCATGTTGCCATCATGCACCAACTGTTCGCAACATTTTTTCCCTTTGTGGAGCTGGGATGGGTGTGACCTGCGCATGATGCATCTGACCTGCAGGGGCGCCAGTTTGACATTCCTGCTTTAAGGCAATTGATCTGGAAGACTGTCATTAAACATTAGAATGTAGGTGTCAAAGTAAAAAAAAAACCAAATTAAGAGATTATTAGGTGAGAGAAAACAATATGAAAATAAAACAGTAACAGTAGAGTTTACCCTATAGCTGTCTTATGAGGTAGTACAGATACCCTTATTTAATGACTGCACTTTTCTTTACTTTCAAATATTTTTCTTAGTTTGTATTAGTATTTTATCTTTGCATCTGGAAACTTGAATAAAATTATTTTTTAAAAAAGAGAGGGAAAAAGTGAGACATCACATGACTGCAACTTACAGTTCCACCATTCTCCATTGACTGCTTGTCCAGAACCTGGTAGTGAAGCTTGCAAAAGGCAGTCATGTGACCAGGGGACTCAGTGAATGCCATAAATGCATGCCAGTTGCAAAGCACCCAAGTGGCAATCATGTGACTATAACGACATTGCGACAGTCGCAAGTTTGAAGACCAGTCAAGTTTTTTTTTTGCTCCACTTTAAACAGTTGGTGAATGAGGCAGTTGACAAGGGAAGGCTAAGTGAATAGACAAGAAAGGACAGAGGAGAGAATAAGAGAAACAACGTTATCTTGTCCTAAAAGGCATAGCTGATGTAACAAACTTGGGAGGTGTTTACATCTTAACTGTTTTGGCCAAAGGATTAAGTGGACTTGAAGGCAGCCGCTGGGAGAACATTGCAGAGACCTGCTTAACTCCGTTTCACTTTTAATGTGAACCACAGAAGGCCCTATGACTCAGCATATAACGAGGGCGCATAAGGTATCGAAGTAAATTAAAAGGGAAATCACAAACATTCCTCTGCCTTTGATGATCCTCCCTCTTTTATCAAGATATTTAAATACTGCCTCTCAAGCTTTGATCTCCTGGGGAACTAGGCCAGAATCTCCTTCCTTTGCTTGAATCAAAAGTCTTAATTACTTGGTTAAGCATTAACATTTCTGCTCAATTCTAAAGACCAAGCAACATAAAAATATCCATTAAATATAGCCTATTCAATTTTCTACCCATTACTGCTTGTACTCCAATAACTTTATCAAAGAGAAAATTTGAACTGACAGCAATATCATCCTTTATGGCTCATCTGTAGAGAACAGAGAGGAGGGACAAAAACAAAGAGAGGCCTAAACCATCTTCACAACTTGTCCAAGTTGATTTTGAGATTTTAGAGAGAAGAGAATATCTACATATCTATTGCTGTTACAAGTCACGAAGCTTTGTTTTATGGATCTCAAAGTTCTCTAACTGAATGTGAATCACAAGGAGCCAGATGACAAGTAGCTTTTCCATATGGGATTAAGACAGCAGAAGGTCCTTGTCAAAGGAAGAATTGAAGGCATCACTTTCATAAATGGTTGGCAATTCTGAAAAAAACACATCACTAGTTTTACACCAGCAGGTTGTGCCCAATCCAAGGTGACACTGCTTGGAACTCCTTGTGCCCAGTCAGAAAATTATTTGATTTTCCTTTTGTATGTTCTAGGCTTTTCCTGTGCACATTATCTTAGTCAAATGAGAATATCTGAAAGAGTAGAATAAAGCAAACCAAAGCAAAGTTTAGATCGGATATGATTTTTCAGACTAATAACATTGGTTAAAGTCTAGTTATAAATAGGAGTAATTAATTGAAAAAAATATCTAGTCCTTACTTTGCTACAGCAATCAGTTCATACAGAGAAGGAAAAAAAATAGGAACATGTAACTGTTTAACTGTTTTAAACATATATATCCTATTCTCCAAAAGAATCCAAGGGAAACTTACAAAATATCAAAACTAGAATAAAAATAATATAAAATTAAAAGCAACATATCATGCAATTACTGGCTGGCAGAGAAACAATTTTGTATTACTTTTTTTGTATAGAGTCTGAAGGAATTAGTCTTTAAACATTGCAATGTGTGTGTGTGTGTGTGTGTGTGTGTGTGTGTGTGTGTGTGTGTGTGTGTAAATTCATTAAACATGAAACTCAGTCAACTGAACTTTTAAAAATGGATCAAGTATCTTCTTAAAATGTATGTTGTTCCAGTCTTTTGATTGTTGTTGTTGTTGTTGTTGTTGTTGTTGTTGTTATTATTGCTTAGTGATAATTATTTGTTTGATAATTCACTCTTTTTAGTTTATTAATAGCTGCTGCTGGCACAAAAGTGAATAACAGAGAAGTAACATTTAATGCAATTTTCTCCTGTGGATACCAGAATGCAGCTAACAAAGCAAAAAAAAAAAAAAAGAATTATTGAATAATTAATCCAGAGCTCTTACTTAACACACAAATGACCAGGCTAAAATTATCATACTTTGGAGATATTATATGAAAGCTTAATTTTCTGGAGAAGTCTATCATGCTGGGAAATATGGAAAGAAAGAGAAGGACAATGGATAGCAAAGTGAATTGCCTCAATTATAGTTGCAAGGGATATATGATTAAAAGATCCAAAAGAGTAATGTTGAGGATAAATCTTCCTGGAGGAAATCTAGCTAGGTGGACACTAAGAATTGACACTAAATTGAGGGCACATAATCAATCATCCACCCACCCACCCACCCAACCAACCAATGCTTAATGGGAAGATTGGATTTCAATGGAAGAATGAATTTAAAGGTTTACAAAACTGAAATGTCTAAATAAAATCAAGCATATATATTCCATTAATAAATATTTAACCCAAAACTTGAAAAAGGTACAAAATTGTCCTCTCCACAATCAGATGTATTATGTATAAACCAGAAAACATGTCATATTAGATCTTGACTGCAGTTTGCTTTTTCCAATATTAAAATATTAAGTAGATACTGAATAGCTTTGAACAATGTGTTTCTTCTAGTCTCACATTCAAATATAACTCATGATTTTATACAAATAAATTCATATAAAGAAAATGGCAGAGAACTATTGTAGGATCTCAGCTATACCTTGAACTTTATCTTACATTTGAGATGCTTCCCAGGCACATCCACCAGAGGCTAAATGAATCTTCTCATATGAAAGGAAACCACCTGGAGAGATTATTCCATAATGCCACCTCCCCTTTTGTTTTTTAAAAAACTGATCTTTAACTTTCTGCTTAACTTTGTTACTTTTTAAATTAGTTATATGGTATTTCATTTTGTGAAATGTCTTGTAGGGTCACAAGATAGTACAGAAATGTGTCTTCAAATAAGCAAGCAAGCCATTGTGTCCTAGTTCACTTCCTCAGAATAGGGAGGTGTGCAAAAAACAGGAAACATCCCGTGTTTCCATACTGGAACAAACAGTCCTATTTGAAATAATCAGTCAGTTGAAACAGCCTAAATGTTTGGTTCCAACTCAAAACAAAACTCTCAGATACAGATGTTTTGTTGTTGAGCTGAGACCACTTCAAGGTTGTTTCAACATTCAACTTGAAATTACCTGAGAACAGCATGCTTTCTTTCCAGCACTGAAACAACATTTTATTTATTTATTTATTTATTTATTTATTTATTTATTTATTTGATTTGCCAATTGTTTACAAGATAATAAGTATAAGTGTATACATAGTTGTGAATACATGAAATGGTTACATATAAGAAAAATAAAAGAATAGGAGAAACAATAGGACAGGGACGGTAGGCACGTTGGTGCACTTATGCACGCCCCCTACAGACCTCTTAGGAAAGGGGTGAGGTCAATAGTAGACAGTCTAAGGTTAAAGTTTTTGGGGTTCTGAACAGTCAAAATGACGATTTCAAGCTCAAGATGTTTTAAATTTGAAACATCTTGCACTTCATAGATTTTGGTGGCTAACAACAAGGCCCTGCTCCCATGAGGTGGATTTCTGTAATCTGAGGAGTTCAGCTGTTTTGTTTTTAAAATGGCTTTGGACACCCTAGATTACCCACTTAACATTTCAATGCTGTCGCCCTCAACTTGTTACCTTCATATTTCCTGTTGTTGAGCTGATTGAACTGCTCTGTAAATTCTGCCAGGGATTCCTCAATAGTCTCTGTCCTGGGAACTGAAAGCGAAAAGCGGCGCTTGAACGTTTTCATCTTGTTCATTTTATTCTGTAGAGCAAGTCAACTATAGGATCTGATAGGAAAGAAAATCAAAATGATGGTTCTCAGTTTATTCACAGAACTGCAACCAGAGATATAGGAAATGAAATTCTGATTTCCACTGAAATCACACTCACAGTAAATGGAATAATTTCCTCTTGCATTTCAATCAGCAGGGATTCATACATGAAAAGATGGATTCATTTTACTGTGTTGAAGCAGACACAATGATAGCATATACCCAGAATTTGGTTTGATCATTGAAAAAAGAATGAACTTATGCTTTACATCAGAGTTTTCTTAAACCTTAAATAATATTTTTTTAAAATGAGGACTATCCATGACTTCTTGTAATGGGGGACAAAAAGAACCATTGGAATACATTTTTTAAAATTATAATCATTATTTTTCCTTAAATATAAATACATTGATAAGTCCTAAAGGGATCTGCTCGTGTAGTTCATCAATGTCTGGAGAAATATATCAGTCATTTTTGATATTTGGTAGAAGCTACAGTAAGTGTGAAAAGCCACTTTTAGAAAGATCCAACAAAGCAACATGTAGTATGCATTTTTATTTTAAAACGTGTATTCTTTGTGACCTTTCATTTACTTAGAAAATGTATATAGCTGTGCAACTCACATAATCATGACTCTGGGCAGCATGCATGAAACAAAGCCCCCCCCCCCCAAGAATATTGCAAATAAAAACTATAACACAAAAGCCAACATAACAACCACATAGAGATGGGGATCACCAATCATACATTCCGTTTCTCAGAAGTTGGGCTCATCTATTATCCTGGGCCAATACCCTGGGAAAAGTAGATTTTGTAAAGCTTTCCTGAAGGTTAATAGGGTCAGGGCTGTCCAAGTCTTAGGGAGGAAATTATTTGAAAAGGCAGGCACTGCATCAGAAATGGCTTGTCTCCCAGGTCCTATCAGATAACATTGCTGCAAAATTGAGCCTGGAATATGCCCATCCCATGTGACCATGTGGAATGGGCAGAAATACTCAGGCAGACCTGCAAACATTACAGTCCTGGTCCATGACGGGCTTTGTAAGCAATAATCAGCATCTTTAGTTATATATAAAGCATATAGAGAGAGCCAATACATTTAAGGACTTCCAGTAATTCTTTGCCCATCCTCAATTCTTTCAATGTAATAGCCCCTCTTATTCAGGAATAATTACTCGTTGGATAGAAGTACTGAATGGATCCAAATTCTAAATAAACTTTTCTTGAATCTTGGTTTATGGGAAACTATTTTGCAAATTGGATTGGCAACATTTTCAAACATGAATCATAATTATGGTAGTTTAAATTCCGACAAGACAGTGAACATATTAAAGTTGTTTGCAATTATTTTCAGTCTCTTAAAGACAAGGGGAGGGGTGAGGTAGGTTTGCAGAGTATCTTCCAGTTTTTCAGGAAAGACTAAGTGCTCCAGCTATTTTATACCATGAAAAAAATTTTTTAGGGTTGAATGCTGCATCCTTTCTCTGTCTCTGCTTGGTTTTTCAAAATCCATCTTACCAATTGTTCATTTAACTCAAAGTTAATAAGTTTAATGCAGTTTTGCCAATATTGTCAGGGTTTGAAGATGCAAGAGAATGAAAGTAGAATTTTTTTGCATGCAACCACATATACTGCCATTAATAGATCACATTCTCAAAGAGTAAAAGATTCTTGAATTTTACCCATAATATGTAAGTAAAATAAATTCGCTGAGACAGGACATTGCTAAAACTTAATACAACTGCTAGTTCTAGTTTTAATGTAACTAGATAGATAACTAGAGTTGACTCCCTTCACCAGTCTTGCCCATTTCCTCTAGTCCAAATTTGCACAGAGAATGTTTTGGAATATAGGTAGTTACAACATCGGATAGCTGTCCTATAAATTTCTTTGGATTTATAATCTAGTTATTAGGTAAATAAATTCTAGAAGAAATTAATCTGGCTACTAATAAATGATAAACAATTCAGCACTTTTATAATGGCCATAAAGATTGTTTGGGACTGATTTTGTAGCCTATAGAAGTTTCCTTAAGAAATATTAAGAGGCATTATCTTTTTCTTTTAGCTACGTAAAGCCAAATAAATAAATAAATTTGCTCATTTTTATTCAGATAACCAAACCAACTTTCTGGGTCTTTTCTGAAGAAAGTCACCCTAACAACAACAGTACATGGCTAAAAGGATTAGATTACAGTAATCTAAAACAGGATCCATGGGTATGCAGGGATAAATACACCCCCAAAGTGTACCATCTGGGCAGTTTTGTTTTGTTTCAGCTCAGAAATAACTAACTGTGAGTAGAAAATGACAAAAAAAAAACACCATCCAATTCTTCAGTAAAGAAATATTATTAGACTTAATAGCAACCCAAACTGTGTATTTTATGTTTCTGTTAATTAACTTTGGTTTCACAAAAGGAACGTTTCAGATGTTAATAAGGGCAACTGCATTTAAGAAAGGTTTTCTACAATCTTCTGCAGTCTCATCACCATTGCTCAAACCACTTTCTCTCTATCCTTACATTTTATTATGCAGGAATTACCCTTTTCTTCAGTGACAGGCAACAGGAAAAAAGGCACACCCCCCCCCCCCATACCTAGGTGTGGGATATTTTCATGTGGTGGCTTAGATGCACATTTAAAAACTGGGTACATGTTATTTGTCCCAGCTGTAGTCCAGATGCTAAAGCTTTGTGTGTCTTTACTATCTCTTCTGAAATCTGGACTGGGAGTGGATATTATTAAATAGAGTGTTGTCCTTCACAGATTGTTTACATGGACATTTTAATTAAAAATGCTGATCTGCTGGAATAGTGAACCAAAGTGCTGAAATATTTGAATAACAATAATATACCCATGTTTTCTTGTGGCTTCTTCTGCAAGCTGAACTACGTCAGGGGAAAAAACCCCATCATATAAAGATGAATAGAACATCAATTAACCTTATGATGGCTGGGTAAGTGAATGTTTGAGTTGTATCGCAAACTTATAATAAAAGGCTGAGCCCAGAATAGGTAGTCATGGGAACTAAAAAGGGCAAGGTGACATATGACAATTGAGGTGGTATCCTGCACTTGACCTGGAATGCAAGCAATGTTAGACTGTTGGATGCATATTAAGAGGAAAAATTCTCAAATGCAGACACATTTAATTTCATTTAATTAAATTTCCAAGGCATGGGGGAACTAGTTAAAGGGAAAGGGTCAAAGAGTTCCATTTTTTCAAGGCATTTGAATGAAACCAAGACCATACTAACAGACACTCAGCTAGAAAATACATTCTAAGTTAGAAAATATATGACTAAGTCCAACAGACACCATCATGGTTAATTAGCAGAATCAGAAAAGCTATAAAAAGCAAAGATCTATTTGAAACGTGGAGCTCTTATTCTCAAGAGAACAAATTCTGGCAATACTAAGGTAAAGCAATAATATAACAAACAACAAAAACTAATAAAACTGAGCAATACACTTCTAAAAATATAAACACAAAACACAAAACACAAGATGTCTATAAATACATTAAATTATGGAAGCCAGCCAGTTATTTACCCAATAAAACTGGCAAAATTTTCAAGACACAGAAAAGAAAGTAGTTTTTTTTTTAAATAACACATAAATCACTTACAGAATTTACTGCCAAATAACTTCAATGGATTTAAAAGGGAGTTAAATATATCAATGAAGTAAAACCATGTTAATGTAAGGCTTTAGGAATGTTACAAGTTTATAAGACATATGTTGCTAAATACTTTGTACAGCAGGGCAGTGGCAGAAGAGAAAAAATATCTTCAAATGGTCCTTGCAGTCTTTCCAACTACTTTGAAAAACAGGATGCTGGACCTTTGATCAGATCCAGGAGAGTTCTTATTATATTCTTACTGTTTATGTAACCTGCATCTAAGTTTATTTTGATAGACTTTAAAATGACAAACACATTAAAACTGCTTAGTGTGCTTGATGGAAATGGCAAATAGATTAACAGTAGAACAACAGCACAATCAAGATGAGAAAAAAGATCAAGGATCTGTTGGGAGAATGTGTTATGTAACTAAGAGCACTCGGACCAGGGTGTGCAATATTTTTGGACCATGGACACTATTACAGTTCTGAGAACTTGTGAGCAATTCATTCACAAAAGAATTTCTACGGGAGATCTGCCTTCAGATAACATCTTCCATGATGGGCTTGGTCAGCCAACACCCTCTTTTGACATTCCCAGGTGCACTCAAGGGCATGGCAAAAAAAAAAAAAAAGCAATGCTGGGAGCTTCTTCATAGAAGCCTGTGTTCCATTTAATTTAATTCAGTGGTTCCCAAACTTTTTCGGTCCACTGCCCCCTTGGTGCTACAAACTCATCCTCGGGGCCCCCCACCCAGGGGTGGGATTCAAATTTCTGTGGGTGTGGCCTAATTTGAGGGTGTGGTTTGCTGTTCACATGACTGGGTGGGCGTGGCTTGCTGGTCATGTGACTGGGTGGGCGTGGCCAGGCAAATCAAATACAAGTGGTCCTCACTTAATGAGCGGTTGTTTAGCAAGTGTTCTAATTTATGACTGGCCTCCCCAGAGCTACTTGACCAGTTTTTGGAGTTTGGACAGCTTTAGATCAGGGATCTAATTCCCACCCCTGCCTGTGTGTGTGTGAGAGAGGGAGAGAGAGAGGTTGGATCAGATCTCTCTCTCTCTCTCTCTCCCACCAACGCCAAAAAGCCACCGTCCATCAAAATTCATATTTGTGGTCTCCGGGATTTAAAATTACGAGTTTGGTGGTCTCTGAGGTCCAAAAGTTTGGCGACCCCTGATCCAAAGGGATGAGCCTGAGAGAGGGAAACAGAGAGAGAAAAGAAAGAGAGGAAGAGAGGAAGAAAATAAAGAGAAAAGGGAAAGAAAGAAAAAGGGACAAAGAAAGAGGGGGGGATGGAAGGAAGGGACAGAAAGAAAAAGAAATAAAGAAAGAGGGAGGGAGGGAGGAGAAAGATAATGAGATATCTATTCTAGTCTAATCACCTGCTCCA